TATTTGCCAAGGTCCTAGCAAACAGACTCAACTTGGGCATTGGCACTGGTCCTGTAGCATTGGCCAACTTATACATAAGGACCAAGTGGGTTTACTATCCAGACAGTTATGGCTAGAAAACGTAAAATCCCCTTAATGTTGCTCTCCTTAGATATCAAAAAGTGTTCAATGCCCTTTCTTGGCCTTACCTATTTTACATTCCAGACAAGTGGAGTTTTGACCCAAACTTCAATCGCTGGGTATCTGCCCTAAATCCTTGCCCCTCAGGTTGCGTGAAATATGCAGGCTTTAAACCCTCTCCTCTAGCCATAGGCCAAGGCACCCAACAGGGCTGCCCCCTATCCCCTCTATGGTTGGCCTTAGCTATTGAACCCCTAACTTACTTGGTTCGCAATCATTCTGCCATAAAGGGTGTTCCTGTAGCTGGTCAGTGCATAAGCTGGTCCTGTAGCTGGTCAGCCTGTTTGCCGATGACATCCTTTTATTCCTCACAAACCCTATTGTCTCATTCTCCTCCCTTGCACAACAATTATGTTCCACCTTTTCCTTTCCCTGGGAGGATTCTCACCTACCATTCCCAGCTATTCACCTCACCGCCTCCTATGACTCCCTTTATTCAGCAAATTACCCTGCATTAATTCGCAAACTGAAGTCTTTATTGACGACTTGGAAATGCTACGTGCTCTCATGGCTGGGCCACATAGTGGCGATCAAAATGTCCTACATACCTAAACTGCTTTACTTTTTCAGGGTTCTCCCAATCCCAGCACCATCCCACATACTACACAGTCTACAACGCCAAGTACTTTGTTTTATATCGGCTGATAAAACCCCCCAAATATTTGCATCCACATTCTATCAATCCCGACTTCAAGGTGGCCTAGGGGTTCCGAATTTTCTAAATTACTAACGAGCAGCACAGATAGTCCTCCTTACTAAATACCAGGCAACCATTGAATTACCCCTATGTGTGCCCCCTGAAGCCGTGGTTTGTGCTGATTGGCGTGGATAACCTTTTGTAGCTATCCCCCCGTAACAGGAAAACATTGCAGAACCCGGTAACGAAACACTCTCTTGTGGTTTGGGACACGGTGAAATACTCTGGAGGTCTCCTCTCACCCCATCTACTGTTACTCTCCCCGCTTCATAATCTGGCCTTCCTTGCAGGTCTGGATTCCCCAACACTTTTCTATCACTGGAACTCTAAGGGACCCCTTCGCTTTCGTGCCCTAGTTAATGCTTCAGTTATACTTCCCTTCCCATTCCAGCAAGGTTCACTAGACCTCCCAAAATCTTCAGCTACTTACAAATTAAGCATTATGTTACCTCGTTGGTCCGAAGTTATCCTTCTACCTCAACTTTGGAGTGACTCAGTGAAGACTCGCCACATGCAAGAGGTGTAATCTCTTTACTATATGGGTCTTTATCCTCTACATCCTCTCCATCTGCCCACAATTATATGAAACTCTGGTCTACGGACTTTGGACTTCCCCAAATCTGAAACAATTGGTCTGGTTCTAGGGTAAAAATTAAAGCCTATTCTCAAAATGTTAATGCTCTAGAAATTAACTATAAACTCTTATTTTGCTGGCATTATGTTCCCCATAAATTGGCTCATATAGACCCCCAAAATGTTTTCAAGGATGCACTGACATCGGCACAGTGTCTCAGATCTGGTGGTCCTGCCCCCACATCCAAAGTTTTTGGGAACAGGTATTTAGACTACTTCACTCAGTCCTACATACACACTTGTCCTTAACTCCAAGCAAAACCATACCCAACTTAAAACCACTGGGCATCTCTAAATATAAATTTGCCGTAATAACTCATGTTCTTATAGCTGCCAAACTTGTCATCAAGAAATCCTGGTATTCCCCCTTTCTACACTTGTCTGCAGTTAATTCTGGTATACACATGACACTCTCCGCCAAACTGTCTGGCTCAATGGACAAGTTCCATATCTGGCATCCTTGGATCTCGCAATGTCTACCCCGCCTAACTTTGACAGACAACTGCTGTCTCTTTAAGTTTCTTATAATCTCTGCCTGTTGTGCATGTGAGCTCGAAAGGCACAGAATGTGCCTTTCCACTTATCCCCCCACCCCCCTTTCTTTCCTTTTTCTTGCCTACTTTTCTTCCCTATCCTCCTCCTTTTCCTTTATATTATAAAGATTTTTATCCTCAACCTATATGTGTCTTGCTATTCTACTTAGTTGATATATCACTACGTTTCAATTTGCAACGTTGACGTTTATTGGCCGTAATATGCGATTATTATCTTTTACATGTAATTTGTCATTTCTACTTTTTATCACTGAATTTTTGTTCGCTGTATTTCCCCGTAAAACTGATAAACAAACATATTGAACATAAAATCCTTAAAAGATCAATCCACCCAAAACATATTTCAGTCTTTAGTATATAATGTTAAATTAAACCACCTGACAGTTTGTTTACCTATCAGGATGCTATTGGTGCAATCTCTGCACTTGATTTCCTGGGTCTGCACGCCCACTGAGCCCATTATGAGTCAGCCCCCCTCTTTTGCCATTTGTTGGTTATTTTATATTATGAATAATGCAAGGAGGAGCAAAAACAAGCGAAAGTAGGGAGAAACGCCAAAATCTCCCAGGGGTACAGGAACAGATTTAGCATTATAGCAGGGAGATTTTTTTTGGAGTATTCATGAAACCAGGCTTTACCTATCAATAAAATATCACTTTTGGGTGAACAATCCCTTTAATATTTTAACCATACCAATATCTAAGTTTGCCACCCTGTCTGCAAAGTGAGTTCTCTATCCATCACCTAACATGAATGATGACTTTGAGATAAATATACAAAAGCTTTCTTTTATATAGTATTCCTCTAATATTTGTGTGATCACTGTAAACAGCAAATAGCAGTTTATAGATCTTCATTTCTTTTTTACATCACTGTGCAGTTTTTCTTATCTGGAAGCTGAAAATAACACATCCATCTGTATAACATCACAGATAAGCTGGTTCTACCAGAATCCTAAAATACCTAGTGTTTGCAATGTTTATTTTTTTACCAGTTTACTAAATATGTTCGTATTTTTGGTGTTACATAAGTTGCTCAGTTGAAAAAACATACAGTGTATATGCCAATTCTAAAAAGGACAGTAATTGCTTCAGTGCTTCAACAGGATTTACAAGTAACATGGTGTAATCTGCTAAAGTTAACACACTGCAAGCCATCTGGGTTTGCGTGTCTTGTATAAGAGACAGTATTTTATGTTCTTCCATTTCATCAAGTCCTGTGTTTGACTCTCGGTAAACTGGAATTTTGCCGTCTTGCATTTTCTAGTTCGGTGACAGCTGCTGCATCTCAACTCTACATCACTGACAGACTTGTTTCTGGCGTGTGGATTGCATGCAGATGGAAATGCTGGTCATTTTACCAGATATTCACACTTACACTTTGACTCACCAGCCATCAGAAAATAAAAAGCTGGAACCACATAACAGAATATAAAGAGGTATATTAGTGCTTGCCTAAAAACATGCAGTACTGAAAACATAACAAGATCTGGATCCACTGTGTATCAGTAGAGTTGGAATCACAATTAAAGAGGAACTTTACCCATATCTTTAAAATAACAACAATGTTTAGAAATGTTTAGTAATGACAATCTACAAACAGATTCCTATAAATAATTGCCGCCTTTTTATTCTTTGCATAACTTATTTGTCTTTTCCTCCCCATTTTTCTCACAGTGGCCATTTTTTTTACTAAAGGGCAGATTACTAGATCTCCCTTTACTACCTGGAACACTGGCACTGAATGTGACTAGGACATGTGACCGTGCACATCATCTCAGGGTGATCTCAAATGAGATTTCCCAACAATGCTCTACTGATGCAACCTTCCCAAAATGTAGTGGACCAGGAAGTGGATGATCTCTATTTCTAAGCAAATAAAAAATATATTTTTTTTAACTAATGAGTGTAATATAATTTCATATCAACATGTAGAGCTGTATGCATGTCTAATACACTGATATTTCATGTTTGGTTATTTAAGTTAATGTGTGTGTATAT